GATGCCGAAAAATACATATTTGCCCAAACGGTACTAAGAAGGGGGATATAATAGGCCCAAAAAAGGGACAATGGGGGGGAGGGGTTCTGAGAGGCCAAATGCACCAACCCAGAAAAAAATAACCCAAAGATCCCCCCTCCCCCCCCCCCCCCCCCCGGGCGTATTGCTACTTCTACAGTCAAAATTATAACAAAGGGACCAAATAAGGCGGCAGTTTAATGGAGAGAAAAAAACAAACAGCAAGAAAGTCACGAATGAAGGAACTTTATGCGGTGTCTTATATATGATGCATGCGGAAGCTCGCCTAACGCTGAAGGAAAAGAAAATGAAAAAAAAAAGATGAGGAGGGTGGGGAACGGTTCTTGCGCCCCCGCGTATGAGACGTTTGTTTTCACAGTAAAGAGACAGAGACGATCACCAAAAAGGAAGAGAGATTTATAAAGCACAAGTTAAGACAAATAATAACGCCAAGATTAAAATCAAGCAGCAACAAATATAACAAAGTTCAAAGTTGAATACACCTCTTACCTCTAACAGACAAGTTACCAGTGACCTCAGACGATCCAAGAATGTTCCTGGCATAACACGTGTACTGCCCAGCGTCGCTGTAGTTCAGATTCTTAACAATCAACTCTCCTTCTTTAATCAAATACTTTGCACCTGACACAAGCTTTTTGCCTTTGAATCGCCATTCGACCGCAGGTGGAGGATTTCCTCCTATCGTGCAATAAAAAGTCGTATCTCCTCCTTCATCCCTTGTCTGTCCTGCCGGTGACAACATTACTTGTGGTGCAGATATCGATTTCCCAGGCCTTCCAGGTGGTCCCGGCATGCCTTTTGGCCCAGATTCTCCCTTGACCCCTTTTTCTCCTCTCGGTCCCGCAGGACCCGTCATTCCTCTTTTTCTGGATTTTCCGGGTGGTCCCATGGGACCTTGAGGCCCTCTCTTTCCCTGTTGTCCCCTCCTGCCACGTGGTCCTTTCGCCCCAGTGGGACCAGGGAGTCCGGGGGGGCCTGCAGGACAGACTTTTTCACTTGGCTTACAGTACTTGAGGGGCATAAGTTGCTCAAGCTGTTTTGTGATTTCTTTTCTTAAGTTATGTACTGTGATACTCTTTGAAGTGTCGTTTAAAACTTGCCTTCGGTTTCTTGGTCGGGTGGTTGTTGTAAATACCATTTTTGACAACGGTACGGCTGCAGTAAAAATGTTATAAAACCTATAAGAACTGTTTGATTAGTGAAAAATAAGGTTGTTCGTGATTAGGGGGTTCCGTCGTTACCACACTAGGCCAGTT